GTAGTAGTAGTAGTATGAGTAGTAGTCGTAATAGTAGCAGTAGTAGTAGTAGTAGTAGTTGTTGTTAATAGAAAAAGTAATACGTTTGTTTGTATCAATGCTATTACTATTGCTTTCTGCTTTCGCTTTTGCTATTCATATTGCTATTATTTTTACTGTTACTCTGTTGTTCTTACTCGGTCTTACTCTTCTCTTGGTTGTTGCTGTTGCTGCTGCTGTTGCTGCTGCTGTCGCCGTTACCGTTACTACTGCCGCTGCTGTTGCTGTTGCTGTGACTGTGACTCTTCCCATTATCACTGCTCACACTACTTGCCACTACCTGACTACCTACCATCGTGATGGTTATTGTATCTGCTAATAGCATTCACTATGTCACTATGATTATTACTATCAGCATCACGATTACTATTACATTGGTCGTGTGTGTGTGGCAGTGTGGCAACGTGGGAAGCATTTGCCTCCCCTCAAAAGCATAGTCACTGTCACGGTCGAATCGTCATGATTCATCCTCAGTTCGATTGGTCAGAAAAAACAGTCATTTTTGATGTGCAGATAGCTACAGCTACAGCTATGACCGTCTCAGGCATTTCTTCCTGCCCTGTTCATGTGCTGCCTTGACTCAATGGTATGGCTCCCATCCCGCTGTTCATAGTCAGATTCTGCTGCCCATATGTCCATAAGTTGATCCTCAAAAACTCCGCTGTCTGTTTTATGTGCAGCCTGCCAGAAGGCTGCGGAGGACGAGGCCACGGACCTTCCCGAGGAATTCGAGGATGAGGCGGAGCAGGGTGCAAGGCCAGGCAAGGCTGCAGCTGCTGCAAGTGCAAGTGCTTCGGTGGCTTCGAAGCGTTCAAAGCTCCAGCTCAAGAAGAAAAAGGGTGGCAAGGGCAAGGCGAAGAAGACTGTGAAGAGCGGGGGAATACTCAAGAAAAAGCCTAAGGCTGCTACGAAGTGCTCGTTGTGCTTGAAGACTCCACAGGACGGCCCCGCCTGATTTTCCAGGTTGTGAGCTTCCGAAGACGCATAATGGNNATGGTTTAGCCAGGTATGCGACGTTGAAGTGTCTCCAAAGAAGTCTTTGGAGTGAAGATTCCAAGGTCTGGAGTGTGGAGTCTGTTGTCAATAGATGAGCTCGTTGTCAAATCATTTGTGACTCGTGTGATGGGATGCATGATTGAAGCGCTGGTTGTTTGGACAGGGTTCTTGCTGAGTGTAGCAGCATAGCAGTGTAGCCGCTACCCACTAGCCTAGCAAACTGGACTGAGTGCTTCATTGCTCGAATGTTCGAACCCATCAGCCATCGCAGGAAGCGGAGTGGCCCGAGTTCACTGACAACGTGGCGACAGGCGACGCTTGCCGCGTTTGTCGGGAGGTTTGCGTGAGTTGCTGGCCGGAAATGACTTTCGCGGCCTTTGCCAATAAGTACCACGACAAGGGCGATCCAGACAACAAAGACTTCAGAGCTGTTGTCACCGCTGCCAGGGTGCTTTTGAAGGCCCGGTTGGCAGGCAAGCCGACGCCGGAAATCCTCCCGCCCACATACGTGCGTGCCCGCAATGAGCGATTGATTTGTGTGTACTACGACGTCTTGTACGTGAGCGTGTCAGAGCTCACGAGACTCTGCAACGGGCTAGGGCCGAAGCAGCTGGGCCTTGGAAAGCCAATGACCTTGACGCTCGAGGACAACAGCACCTTGAAAGGGTATGTCCTCAGTTTGGAAGGTGTTGACCCGGCAGTGGCTCAGTCTTTGAGGCACATCCGTGTTGAGCGCCGTTTGGGTGTTCACATGGATGAAGAGCTCATGGCACCTCGCCATCAGCTGATCAAAGGCCGTGAAAAGCACGTCTTCGAGCATGTCTGTGAGGGGCATGCTGCGCACCTCCCGAGCAAGCTCATGAAGGGCAACCTCAGGACAAAGATGATGACTTTGTCGTCCTTGCATGAGAAGGCTAAGCAGATGGATCAGGCGAAGTATGGCATCCACATTTGACATAGACATAGCTGACATAGCTGTGGCAGACACAGCAGTAGTGCATGTTGTGAGGGGTGCTAGTTGGCAGCAGCTTGCAGGGAAGCCACAGGCCGAGGTTATGGTTAGCTCTTTGGGCTTAGGGTTTTCTTGCGACGGCTGCTATCCAGTTCATTACAGGTTGGGGTTTCAGAGAGGATTCAACTCTGAGAACAAAATGCACATGAGTACTCGTCGTTGTCATCGTGTTTGTGCTAGCTACTTCAGTGCTGTGTTCTACTGATGCCGAATGCAGGGGTCATCCAGTGATCTACGCATGCCCTGCAGGGGCTCATCGGCCTTGCACATTTTTTGACATCTGTTATGTCACGAAGTTTCTTTATCGTCCCGTGGCTCTTTGGAGGAATTTGTTGCTCCATGTCAACGTTGTGTGGCTGGTGAGAGTCCTAGGTCCTATGTCGTCAAACTTCAGCTTTAGGCGTCGGGTAGCCGTGTGTAGCTGCTATGGCTATGGCTTGCCGCCACAATTAGCCGTACTTGTCTAGTCCTGCTAGTCTGCTAGTCTGCTAGTCACTCCTAGTCACTAGTCACCTTTAGTTACTGGAGCTGTCACTGCAGTGGTTCATTTTATGTAGCTGCATGTAGTTTGTGCCTGTGGGCCATCAGCCCTAAGAGCCAAAGTGGTGCAAGGCTACCGGGGAAGCCGAGGGCGGCTTCGACGAGGATGAAGAGGGTGAAGAAGAGGAGCCTCTGGAGCATGACGATCTCGTGGAGGAGAGTGACATGGAGGTGGATGACAAGATGAGCCTGGTGTCGGGAGCCACTGGCCTGTCCAGGCTGTCCAAGTTCACCAAGCCACGTGGTGCTCTCAACATCGTGCCGCAGAAGATGGACTTGGGCAGTGTGGGCGCGGATGCGGCGGAGGCAGCACCAAAGAAAGGGCCGAAAAGGAAAAAAACAGCGGAGGAGGCAGAGGCGGAGGACGGCGACCCCGAGATCCTGAGTATCATTGGCGATGAGACACTGGACGAAGACTTGAAGGAAATTGCAGAAGCACTCGGCGAGATACCGCGGTGTTTTGCGGGTCTCAACGTGACCCGCATCTTGTCGGGCGAGCTGAAGCCAGGCCACCAAGTCAAGGGTGTGGGGAACTCAGTCTATTGTATTCTCAGAAAGTGTTAAACTTAAAGTGTGGAAAGCGCAAAGAGGGGTGAAGGAAGTCTGGAGACACGCATCAGGTGACTCATGTGGCCATGGGGTTTTCCGATTCCAATCTTCTCTGCATGACTAAGACTGCTTCGTGAACATGTAGAGCCTAGAATCGCCTAGAATCTAGAATCTAGAGTCTAGAGTCTAGGGCCTAGAGATTGGTTCCTGTTTTATTTTTCTTTGAGTCTGTTCCTTCCGTCCCATGTTGTCTCATGCACATTCACTCACTCAGCTGCCCAGGCTCATTTTTCATTCCAGTGACTAGCTAACTAGCTGGAACTAGCTGTAACTAGCTGATTCCCACGCACACACAAACACTCTGGCTGGCTCACTGTTCCTTGACGGATGCACTGAGTCATTAAGCATCCGAGGCGATGATCAATGTTAGGTACTTGATCCTACATTCTGGGCCTGTTGTTTTGAGGCTTCTTTGCTTTTTATTTGTCAGCTGTCATGTGTCAGAGGAACCCATTTCGATGATGTCGAATTGCAGCATGCACGTTGGGAAGTAACATTGGGTTCGAGCCAACGGCCTTGGTCTAGCTAGCCGTTGGTGGAGAATGTCTGCAGGCGGCTGGTGTGTGTGTGTGTGTGTGCCAAAAGAGCAATAGGTCCACAGGTCATGTTTTCGATTGTTAGTTGTCTTGAGCAACCAACCTGGCAAGTTAGAGTAGAAGCAGGTGCAAAGTTCCACATGTTTCGGAGTTTTTCGTACAGGCTCTGTGGTGAACGCTGCTCAAGGTGGCAAGGCCCAGCCTCTTTTCACCCAGACTTGTCTCCAAGATGACGTGCTCGGTTGTACAGTGTCTAGAGTCTAGAGTCTATGTGCCATTCGTTTATCACAGCAGCATCCTCCGTCCTGCACTCTGTGTCAGTCCTGTTAAACTGTTAACTTTACGTATGCCATACCCA